TTTTTTAAAAGCTTAAAAGGTTCTTGAGACCCTTGGTGTTTTATTTTTGAAAGAATTTGAACAAGAGTTGAAAAAATATTTGAAGACCCTGGTATTATCTTTAACAAAAAATTAATTAAAAAAAATGCAAAATCTTGGGTATCCCCGGGTGTTTTATTGAAAAATTTAAACGAATCTTGGAACCTGTGAGTTCTATTTTTGAAATATTTTGAAGGAATCTTTGAGCCCTTGATGTTTTATTTTTCAGAGAATTTGAAAAAATCTTGAGGCCTGTGATGGTTAATTTTTGAAATAATTTGAAAGAATCTTGAATGTTCCAAATGTTTTGTTTTTGGAAAAATTATAAAGATTCTTAGGGTTCCTCGTATTTGCTTTTTCGGAAAAATTTGGTCCCTGACGTTTATTTTTGGAAGAATTTGAAAGATTCTTGGGAGTTCCAGATGTCTTTGAAAAAATTAAAAAATTCTTATGGCCCCTAGTATAATAAAATCTTGGTTGCCTCTGGTGTTTTTTCGAAGAGTTTAAAAAAATCTTGGCATCCTTGTGTTTTATTTTAGAAAGAAGTTGAAGAAATGTCGAAGCCTTTGGTGTTAAATTTTTCAGAGAATTTGAAAGAACTTGGCGGTACCAAAGAATCTGGGGGTTCCAGGTGTTTTTTGTTTGGAAAAATTATAAAGATTCTTAGGGTCTCTCCTATGTGGTTTTTCGGAAGAATCTGACAAAATCTTGGATGCCCTTGGTGTTATTTTTGAAAGAATTTGAAAGCATCTTTTCGTGTTTTTTACAAGAGTTTAAAAAATATTGGCTGACCCTAGTATTATATTTATCAAAGGGTTTTATAGATTTTGTGTTTAATTTTTGAAAAAAAAGCAAAATCTTGGAACCTGTGTTGTATTTTTGAAAAATTTTGAAGGAATCTTCGAGCCCTTGGTGTTTTATTTTTGAGAGAATTTGAATGAATCTTGGGGTTCCGGATGGGTTGTTTTTGGAAAAATGTTAAAAATGCTTACTATATGGTTTTTGCAAAAACTTGACAAAATTTTGGGTGCCCCTTGTATTTTTTTAAGAATTTGAAAAGATCTTGAAACCAAGAGTAGAAAAAATATTGGGAGTCTCTGGTGTTGTCTCTATGAAAGAATCTTGGATATCCTTCGTGTTTAGTCTTTAAAAAAAAATCTTGGGTATTCTCGTTTTTTTTAAGACTTTAAAAATCATGTGTGTTTTATTTTTGAAAGATTTTGAATAAATCTTGGGGTTCCGGGTAGGTTGTTTTTGGAAAAATTTAGGATTACTATTGTATGGTTTTTCCAAAAATTTGTCAAAATCTTGGGCGCCACTAGTGTTTTTTTTAAGAGTTTAAAACAGCGGTTCTCAACCTTTTAGTCTTCACGACCCATTTACCAATAACAGTTTTTATCGCGCCCCCCCTCAAAAATTTGCTCAAAAATTTTGGGAGCAGAAAGCATGAAACCTAATAAACTTAAACGCCATTTGGAAACGCCTCATAGTGAATTTGTTGTTAAACCTCGGCAAATTTTCGAATTAAAATTGAAATCATTTGAAAAGCAAAAAAAAATCTTTGGAAATGAAAAAGCTTTACTTGGATCGTACAAAGTTTCATATAGCGATATGTAAAAAGCTGTATACCATTGGCGAAGAACTTATTCTACCAGCTGCAATTGAAATTGTAGAAACTATGTTTGGAGATAATTTTACCAAACAATTAAAGTTTGTACCTCTATCAAATGAGACTGTTGCGCGTCGAATTGGTGATATAGCTAACGATGTACAGCATCAGCTTTTTGAGAAATTGGATGATAAATTCTTTTCAATTCAGCTTGATTAGGCAACAGATAGCATTAAAGATGCGTATGTTCGATTTTGTCTGGTGTTCAGCAGTAGAAGAACTGCTTTTCTGCAAACCAACAGAACTCAAAGCAACAGCAGTTACATTATTTGCTACTTTAAATGATTTTCTAAACGAAGGAAACATAGAATGGAACAATTACGTCGGAATATGCACCGATGGTGCTCGTGCAATGTCTGGAAAATTCCAAAGTACCTATGCAAACACTTGTGAAACAAAAATCTCCACAGTGGGTGTGGACGCATTGCAGATCCATAGAGAAGCTTTGGCTTCCAAGGAAATGAGTCCTGGTTTGAATATTGTACTAACGACGGTTCTGACAGCAATAAATTATATAAAAATGAGATCCTTAAAAATCAGAATATTTTCTGAACTTTACAAAGACATGGGTGCAGTACATTCATCGTTATTTTTTTATTGCGGGACAAGATGGTTATCACGTGGAAGATTTTCGCAACGTGTTTATGAGTTAAGAGATGAAATTATCATTGATTTAGTAGACGAACACAGACCGGAAGTCGAGAAGTTTCGAGATTATTAATTTGTTATGAAATTGAGCTACTTGGTCGACATTTTCGAGAAATTAAATATTTTGAATCTTCAACTCCAAAGAGCAAACACACATATGTTGGATACTAGTGATAAAGTAGAGAATTGGAATTGTGGAACAGAAATGTAAAGCAAAAAACCTAGAAATGTTTCCAAACGTGGATGAATGTGTTAAAACTTACAAGGTTGAGGAACAACTCATATGAAAGTTGTTCTTGTAACCATTGAAAATCATCTAGCCATGCTGGCAAAGAATTCTACAAAGTATTTTTTGCTGATGAGAATTTGCTAGCAGGTTACGAGTTGGTTAGGGATCCATTTCAAAACACTCCTGACGGCCTTTCAACTGCTGTAGAAGAAATGTTCATACACTTCCCGGCAAGCGGCGAAATCAAAAGACAATTTAGTAACAAACCACTCTTTGAATTTTGGGCAAGCTTACATAATAAGTTCTCTGCGCTGAAAACAAGAGCGCTACGTATACTATTACCATTTTCAACATCCTACCTTTGTGAAACCGGATTTTCTACGATGGCTGCATTGAAGACAAAATATAGGTCTCGGTTGAATGTAGAGAAAGAACTTAGAGTGTCAATTTCTCAAATTAAACCGCGTTTCGAAAAGCTTTGTGTGGTTAAACAGGCTCAAAGGAGTCACTAATGATTATCACTATTGCTGCATTTTTATTTAATTATTCAGAATGAATTTTATTTACTTTTTTAACAATATATTTAATTTTTTGTAGTAATATATTCATTATTATTTTAAATATACTTTATTTTTTCTAAAAAATATATTTCCTTATTTGCTCGCGCCCCCCCTCTAATGTTGTCGCGCCCCCCTAGGGGGGCGCGCCCCACAGGTTGAGAATCGCTGGTTTAAAAAGATCTTGAAACCAAGAGTAGAAAAAATATCTCTACGAAAGAATCTTGGATATCAATCGTATTTAGTTTTTCAAAAAAAATTGAAAAAATCTTGGGTGCCCCTGGGGTTTTTTCAAGACTTTAAAAATTTTGGGACACCGGTGTTTTGCCTTTGAAAAATTTTGAAAGAATTTTTAGGATTTCTAATAGATATGTGGTTCTTAGAAACAATTTGAAAGGATATTGAAACCCTTGGTGTTTTATTTTTTAAAGAATTGGAAAGCATTTTAGGGCATCTTTTTTTCCAAATGTTGAAAAGATATTTAAAGTCCATGGTGTTATCTTTATGAAAGATTCTTAGCGACCCTTCGTATTTAGTTCTTGAAAAAATCTTAGGTATCCCTGGTGTTTTTTTTTGGGGGGGTTTAAAAGAAGCTTGGGACCCCTGTATTTTATTTTTGAAAGATTTTCAAAGACTCTTGGGATCCTTGGTGTTCTATTTTTGAGAAAATTGAAAAAATCTTAGGGTTACCTTAGTCTGTGGTATTGGGAAAAACCTTGGTTGCCCCCGGTGTTTTTTTTTTAATTTGAAAGAATCTTTGGGTTGTTACTGTCTTTTTTGCAAGAGTTTAAAAGAATCTCGGAGATCTTTCATGATTCGTGTTCAAAAAAAAACAGAAGAAACTTTGAATGTCTCTGGTGTTTTTTAAAAGGATCTTAGGAACGCCAGTGTTGTATTTTTGAAAGATTTTGAAAGAATCTCGTAGACTCTGCTGATTTATTTTTGAAATTATTTGGAAGAATTGTCAGTGTTCCAGATATTCAGTTGTCAAAGTATTGAAAACATTATAGGTGCCCTCTGTGATTTTTAAAGAGTTTAAAAGGATCTTCAGACCTTTGGTGGTTTATTTTTGAAATAATTTGAAGGAATCTTGATGAATACATTGTTAGTTTTTGGATCTTTTTTAATCTGGTCTACGCCTGCTAGCTTTTGTTTAAGAGTATAACATACTCTTTGGATCTACAATATTTTGTTTATAAAACAACTTGGAAAAATCTAGAGGCCCATGTCGCCTCGTTTTTTAAAACATTTGAAAATATCTTCGTGTTTTTATGATAAAATATATTTTTCTTAAATCTGCTGTTGAAATAGACGCAAATTTCAAAGTAGCTCACGGACTGCCGAGGATCTTTGTTAGGGAGGTTGTTCAAGCATATAAAATATGTATATATCATTAGTATAAAATAAACTTTCTGTAGAAAATAATTTTCGTTTCGTCTAAACGACTATAAAGGATTTTTAGTTTAGTTTTTAGTTTTACTAATTATACTAGAGAAATTTGTGTACGCGTATGTTACGTATTTCCGTTCGATAGTGCAGAGTTTCCCCTCGAACTATTTCATTCGAAAACCCAACTGTAACTCGTTTTTCCCCTGTACGGGTTTTCCAGAAAAAGTAGCTTTGTAGAACTGAGATAAGTTATCTTTCGAAAAAATTTTCTCAACCTGCATCAAAGAAAACGCCACCAACCATATCAACCACAAACACATCTCCTATCGAACAACTCTTCCTTATCTCAACGGCCCCGATGTCGTAATCCTGCGCGTCCACATCACGAAACGAATTAACCAAAAATAAATTCATGCACACATGCTCTAACTCAACCACAGCGATCAGTTTCATAGCTTGCACATCATCTCAGCCATCGAAATTGTTCCAGTTGTAGGGAACCGCAAGGCAATGCAGCCACGAGCCAAACAAGTGATCTTTGCCCAAGCCAACAAACATCGCTGATAATCCCATAAGCACAACATTCTTGGTCGAAAAACGATGTGAAGTGCTCCCGTCTCAGTGCTGTGCTCCGAAGACGAGAACATGCAGTGTGTGGCGGCCCTTATTTCGCTGTTTTGTGTCTTAGGTGCCGCGAACGTGGTCGATGATAGTGACAACAGGACTAGAAACCACTTCACCATCGAGCAGCTGTTGAGCACCACTTTCCCGAAGAAGACCTCCGACGATTTGGATCTCGACCCTTGCAAGGCTGGTGAGTAGCGGTGTTATCTGAAGCGAACTGGATTCGGGCGGTTCGGGACGAGATAAAGGGGTGAAAGGAAGAAGGTTTTGCGGAGAGGAGGGGTTGATATTAAAGGTAGAGTTTGAGGGCGGTTCTTCGTCAACAAAGTGGAAGGAAAACAACACAATTGGATTGTAGTTGCACAATAATGCGGATAAACCATAACAGATTATTATTAATTGTTGAAAAAAAAAAAAACGTGATACTAAAGTAGAAACAATTTACTATACAGTGCCGGCGTAAAGTAGGACCCCATTGTGTTTAGAGAAAGTTCCGAATAACAAATTTAGTAGCTTTGTTTGCGACCTAAAAAAATTTACAATTAATATGTAGTGCGGTGGAGTTAAACTTTGTAGAAATACAAAGTGTTCACTCAGTATTTATAAAAAATTTCTCAGACAACACTAAGCCCAATTTTCTTAAGGCTGTTGCTACAATAAAAAAAATACTGCCTAGCTAAGTTTATTATTATTGCAACTATACAAACATTGTTTGGCTCCTCAGTCAAAAACATGAAAAATTATACAGACAAAATGTATAACAAAAAACAATTCGTGTTTTCCTTAAGGACTGCAAGCCGCTATTTTACCACCCATTTTTATGGAGAACCATTGGACGCCATTCTTTGCAAATTCAAAGTAAGAACAGCCTTAAGTTGTTCATTGACAGACACTTTTGACTTTTCTAATCTTAAGTTTCTTTAACTCGCTTCTAGTAGGAATTTGATTTCTACAATATTTTTCTAAAAAATAAATAAATTCCAATGAAATCAACTACAAATTTTGTTTGAGTTAAATTTACCATTTTAAACATGTTTTAAGATTTTGTTGTAAAAAGATGACTAGGTATATTAAGCAAAGAACAAGGCAAAATATAAGCCCCGCCCACCCACCCCGTCTCAGTTGTGATGACTTTTTTTATTCGTCGTGAGCCAAGAGGGTGGAGCTTATTTGCAAAACCCGTACTTTTCCATTTGAAATTACCACGTAAGATATACATATTTTTGAGTATCGTGTTGTTCAAAGAATACTACCTACTTATTAAGGAAAAATTAAAGCCAGAGTGAGATCGAGACGAATGACAAGGAGTTATGTTTTGGTTTTCTCTTGTACTTATTACATATAGTTTGCTTATAGAAAAATGAGGATTTTGCAATTAAGCTCCGCCTCTTGAGTCACGACGAATAAAAAAAATCATCACAATTGAGACAGGGCGGGTGAGAGGGGTTTATATTTTGCCTTTTTTTCTTAAGATACGTAGTCATCTTTTCACAAAAAAAAGTTAAAACATGTTTAAAATGATAAATTTTTGTAGGGAAATATGGGTTTTGCAATTAAAATGTAAGCCCCGCCCACCCACCCTATCTCAGTTGTGATGATTTTTTTTTATTCGTCGTGAGCCAAGAGGGTGGAGCTTAATTGCAAAACCCTTATTTTTCTACAAGAAATTACCACGTAAGATATATTTTTGAGTGGTCGTGTTGTTCAAAGATTACTAACTATATCACGTAGAAATTAAAGCCAGATTGATATCGAGACCAATGACCAGGATTTATGTTTTGGTTTTCTCTTGTACTTATTACATATAGTGTGCTTGTACAAAAATAAGGATTTTGCAATTAAGCTCCGCCTCACGGCTTACGATGAGTAGAAAAAATCATCACGATTAAGATAGGGTGGGTGGGCGGGGCTGCTATTTTGGCTGTTTTTATAATATACGTAGTCATCTTTTCACAACAAAAACTTAAAACATGTTTAAAATGGTAAATTTTTGTAGAGAAAAATGGGTTTTGCAATGACGCTCCGCCTCTCGGTTTGACAACGAATGAAAACTTCATCGCTATTGAAGTCGGAGCAGGTATGGGTGGGGCTTAATCTCGTGATGATTCGTTGCCAGACCTAGGGCGAAACGTGACTGTAAAATTCGTATTTCTCTACAAATATTTACTAGGTATATTAAGAAAAAACAAGGCAAAATATAAGCCCCGCCCACCCACCCTATCTCAGTTGTGATGATTATTTTTTATTCGTCGTTAGTCAAGAGGGTGGAGATTAATTGCAAAACTCTTACTTTTCCACAAGAAATTACCACGTAAGATATATTTTTGAGTATGTGTTGTTCAAAGAATACTAACTATATTACGTAAAAATTAAAGTCAGATTGACATCGAGACGAATGACCGGGATTTACGTTTTGGTTTTCTTTTGTACTTACTACTTATAATTTGCTTGTAGAAAAATGAGGATTTTGCAATTAAGCTCCGCCCTCTTGAGTCACGATGAATTAAAAGATCATTACAATTGTGACACGGCGGGTGGGCGGGGCTTATATTTTGCCTTTTTTTCTTAAGATACGTAGTCATCTTTTGACAAAAAAAAAGTTAAAACATGTTTAAAATGGTAATTTTTGTAGGGAAATATGGCTTTTGCAATTACGCTCCGCCTCTTGGTTTGACAACGAATGAAAACTTCATCGCTATTGAAGTCGGGGCAGGTATGGGTGGGGCTTAATCTCGTGATGATTCGTTGCCAGACCTAGGGCGAAACGTAAATATAAAATCTATATTTCCCTACAAATATTATTTACCATTTTAAACACGTTTTAAGATTTTGTTGTCAAAAGATGACTAGGTATATTAAGAAAAAACAAGGCAAAATATAAGCCCCGCCCACCCACCCCGTCTCAGTTGTGATGATTTTTTTTATTCGTCGTGAGCCAAGAGGGTGGAGTTTAATTGCAAAACCCGTACTTTTCCACAAGAAATTACCTCGTAAGATATATTTTTGAGTATCGTGTTGTTCAAAGAATACTAACTACTTATTAAGGAAAAATTAAAGGCAGATTGAGATCGAGACGAATGACTAGGATTTATGTTTTGGTTTTTTTTTGTACTTATTACATATAATTTTCTTGCAGAAAAATAAGGATTTTGCAGTTAAGCTCCGCCCCATAGCTTACGACGAATAAAAAAAAACATCACGGTTGAGATAGGGTGGGTGGGCGGGGCTAATATTTTGCCTTCTTTAATAATATACGTACTCATCTTTTCACGACAAAAACTTAAAACATGTTTAAAATGGTAAATTTTTGTAAGGAAATATGGGCTTTGCAGTTACGCTCCGCCTCCTCGGTTTGACAACGAATGAAAACTTCACCACTATTGGAGGTGGGAGCAGGTATGGGTGGGGCTTAACCTTGTGATGATTCGTTGCCTGACCGAGGGGCGAAACGTAACTGTAAAATCTGTATTTCCCTACAAATATTTACCATTTTAAACATGTTTTTAAGTGTTTGTTGTAAAAAGATGACTAGGTATATTAAGAAAAAACAAGACAAAATATAAGCCCCACCCACCCACCCTATCTCAGTTGTGATGATTTTTTTTATTCGTCGTCAGCCAAGAGGGTGGAGCTTATTTGCAAAACCCGTACTTTTCTACAAGAAACTACAACGTAAGATATATTTTTGAGTATCGTGTTGTTCAAAGAATACTAACCATTTTACGTAAAAATTAAAGCCAGGTTGACATCGAGACGAATGACCAGGATTTATGTTTTGGTTTTCTCTTGTACTTATTACATATAGTTTGCTTGTAGAAAAATACGGATTTTGCAAGTAAGCTCCGCCCCACGGCTTACGACGAGTAGAAAAAATCATCACGATTGAGTTAGGGTGGGTGGGCGGGGCTGATATTTTGGCTGTTTTTATAATATACGTAGTCATCTTTTCACAACAAAAACTTATAACATGTTTAAAATGGTAATTTTTTGTAAGGAAATATGGCTTTTGCAATTACGCTCCGCCTCTCGGTTTGAAAGCGAATGAAAACTTCATTGCTATTGAAGTGGGGGCAGGTATGGGTGGGGCTTAATCTCGTGATGATTCGTTGCCAGACCGAGGGGCAAAATGTAACTGTAAAATCTGTATTTCCCTACAAATATTTACCATTTTAAACATGTTTTAAGTTTTTGTTGTGAAAAGATGACTACGTATCTTAAGAAAAAAAGCAAAATATAAGCCCCGCCCACCCGCCCTGTCTCAGTTGTGGTGATTTTTTTTATTCGTCGTGAGCCAAGAGGGCGGAGCTTAATTGCAAAACTCATATTTTTCTACAAGAAATTACCAAGTAAGATATATTTTTGAGTATCGTGTTCGAGGAATACTAAATAAGTATATTAAGTAAAGATTAAAGCCAGATTTAGATGGAGACGGATGGGTGGAGCTTATCTTTTGCCTTTCCTTTTTTACTTAATACATATAGTTTGCCTTCAACAACACGATTACGCAAGAAAATGTTTCACACAGCAATTTCTTGTATAAAAATAAGAATTTTGCAATTAAGATCCGCCCCACGGCTTACGACGGGCAGAAAAAAAATCGTCACAATCGCGATAGGGTGGGTGGGCGGGGCAGATATTTTTTTCTTTTTTGTTAATATACGTAGTCATCTTTTTACTACAAGAAACCTAAAACATATTTAAAATGGTAAAGTTTTCTAGGGATACGTGGATTTTACAATTACATTCCGTCTCTCGGCTAATGAAAAGTTTATCACTGTCTTGGTGGGGGTAGGTATGGGTGGCGCTTAATATCGTGATGAATTTGTCATTCGTTGCCAGACCTAGGGCCAAACGTGACTGCAAAATCCGTATTTCCCTACAAAAATTTACCATCTTCAACATGTTTTAAGTTTTTTTGTGGAAGGATGACTACGTATCTTAAGAAAAAAAGTCAAAATATAAACCCCGCCCACCCGCCCTGTCTTAATTGTGATGATTTTTTTTATTCGTCGTGAGCCAAGAGGGCGGAACTTAATTGAAAAATCCTCATTTTTCAACAAGAAAATACCATGTAAGCAGGGCCGGCTCTAAGAGACCAGGCGCCCCGATGCAAACTTACTGTTCAACGCCCTTAAAAAAAAATTTTTAAACAAAAAACAAATAAAATTTTGTAATCACATATTTTTGTAG